AATGTGTGCGTACGCATTCTACACGGACACGTCGATTGTGCCCGCTCCCAGAGGCGCACACTTTACATAAACACAAAGACAAAGATCCCCCGTGTAGCCTTAACAGACTGTTCGTGCAAGTGCTGTTAGCGAGCACCTATGAAGGCCGGCACGGCACACGAGGGGGTGGGTGGCCAGCACCACGCCCGGCCGCCTTTGTCTCCCCAGTGGCGATGTTTATACACCGCACCAGGTACTCATTTGAGGCTGAATCGACTTAGGGGAGGCCCAGGACCGGTTCAGATAATCGTCACCGGTGTTGGCCGTAATCGAAACCGGGTCGCCAGGTTCGTAGCGCAGCGTGGCGCTAACCGCTACACTATCGCTACATTAACACACACACCTGTACCTCGCATGCATACCTCACGCACTGTATCTGCTAAATCATCACTCATCCTACTTTGGATGTCACCGACTGTATTCACGATGGAGAGTGGTGGTGCAGTTGCAGTGGGAAATGTGTTCCGCTCCTCACGTCAGTGGCGAGTGATGTCTGAACCCGTTTCTGAGCACTAACTCCTTTTTCACCAACCCACAACGACCAGCAAGGTGAAGTATGGTTAGAGGGGGGCCCTTGTGTACGCGTGGATTTTCCAGAAATTATTGTAAACGTGATGGTTGTCTCTGAGAGTACTGTTGAATACACCTAGGCGAACATGGGACATCTGCCACGTTTCACCCCTCTGTATAATCTCCCGATTGTATCCACGTGGTCCGATTTACGATTTTAGGCCGCTTTGCGACCATTCCACAACTGTGCCAAGCACCCACGAGCGACTCGGAGAGGCACTGCGAGCGGTAGGGATGCGGAACGGCCGTGCCGACCCCAGGCAGCAGCAGCAGCATCATCGCACGTGGCGCGATACAACGAAACCCCGTCATTGTGACCGGGTTATGTAATGACGAGGCAAATCTAAGGCACTGGGAAATCAACGGCGTGAAATGAACCGATGGAAATCAGTTTAATACGTAAACTTTCGCGACCAATATTATCCATAAAATAGATTTTTGGGCTAGATCGCGTAAATGTGCCATTGAAGCCGCCACCACCCAACACAGCCAATTGTAAATGTTATGGGTTTATTCTCTCCAACACACCGGTGTGCTGAACTAGTAACGAATTGTCATGTTTGGTTTACCTAACAAACCTTACTAATTGGCTGTGTCGGGTGGTGGCGGGTTTAACGACACATTGTCGCGATCGAACCCAAAAAACTTTATTATGGACGATTGACATCAGCAAATCCTTATTCGGCACGTGCAAACCGTTCCATAGATGAACAAAGAAGCCACAGCAACTTGAAACCACCCTCGAGCCCGTGTTCGAACACACGAGCCCACTTCAGGCTGGGGTGCGCGCTAGTTCCATAGTTCATTTATAGTTCCATAGTTCATTTATTTGGTATAGCCCTGTGAGCCATTCGGCTCTTGAATCGGGTGCAACCGCAACAAACAAACAATAAAAACATGAAAAATAGAACATCTTAAAGTGATTGTGACTGTGCAAACAGAAAATCCAGGAAAAAAACATCAAAATATTCCTGAAATAGCACCGTACACCAACGCTGTGTGCAAAAATCCCAGTGGAATGCAAGTCAAACAACAACAACCACAAGACAACTAAGATTAAGGTCATCAGTCCAACTCCGTACTACAATAAACAAAAACATGGCCAAAACAAAAAAAAACGTTTTCGAAATCACTAAAATAAAAGCCATAAATGCAATGTAACAGTGATCATAGGGACTGTGACCGAATTTTTAACAATAAACTACATAACATGTAACACCAATAAATAACATGTAACACCAAACCCTAGAACCATATTTTAGGCCACTGAATAGCAGTGGCAGCTAGGGGTGTACAACTCCTCTAGAGCATATCCTTAGCTCTTTCGGTAAAGTCACGTTAAAGGGAAACAATAAAATAATAAAATATATATAAAACAATAAAAGTTCTCACGACGTTTCGACCATAACGCAAACGGTCATCATCAGGTGTGAAAAGCAACGGCAAGAAACATTTGAAAGAAGTGGCGGTCCGCATTTAATTATTTATTTTTAAAAACGGTGTTTCCTTTATTTATAAAAACCGTTAGCACCACGGGCAGCGATTTGGCAGTTTATTTAGAAGGACGAGTCCATCTATGTTCTGAAAAGAGGAGGGGGAGACGAAAATTTAATGTATGCTGTCTGAAAGCCACCGTAAGCGTGAACAATCAATTAAGACCTGAAATGGTTTATCAAATCCTTCCAATGACTGCTAAGCCAGAATCCATCTTCTCGGTTGAAATTGTCTCTGTGCTTGTATATGTGGATAGCCTCATGAACGAATCTCTCATGGTAGCCAGATGGCTTACAAAGAACCTCTGTTTTGGAGAAGTCAATGTCAAGTGAGCCTACTGAATTATAACAATGATCTGCTTCCTCTAGAGCAGTTTTGAGTGAAGATCTCATAGGTAGTAATTCAAGTTGCAGTTTATTGGCAATAGCATTCCAGACCCTGGGGGCATCAATAGCAAAGGGCCTTCCTCCGTTTTTTGTACGGCAATAGGGAATGTGAAGCTGGTAAATGAGCGAAGACCTGAGGTCAAATTTGTTCTTTGAAACAGAAAGGAGACCCAGTAGGTAGTCTGCGGGTTTTTTTGTAAGTACATTGTGAATAAATAAGATCTGGTTAAACAAGCCGTCGAAAATTAAGAGATGTTAAGTTTGACCCAATGTAGAGATCACAGTGGTGAGTCCTATATGGGCAGTTTAATGCAAATTTTAAGGCCGAGTGATAGATGGAATCAAGCTTCTTCAGTACAGTACTTGGGGCTGATTTATACACGATGTCACAGTAGTCAAGTAGAGGCAGTATGGTAGCTTTTATCAATTCCAAACAGAACATTGGGGGGAAGTGCTTGTGTTGATACAGAAAACCAATTTATATTTTTGTCTTTTTACCAATATAATCAATGTGATCTTCAAAATTCAGTTTTGAAACCAGGATGACCCCAAGATACTTATAGATCTTGACTTGCTCTATTTGATAATTATTCAAGGAATGTAATTGGGGAAAAATAACTTCCTGCGTTAGTCCCGGTGAGAAGCCTGGGTTCGAGCACGGGCACCTACACGCGTTTGAGCATGAGCTCGAGCATGGAGTCGATCTTGGAATCGCTTTTGCACACGGGATTAGTCTCGACTCCTTATATGGGCAAGCACACGCCCCAGATATCATTTGTTGGTAATGACATCGTTCTATAATCACGCATCTTTGCATATATCTCGTGTTAATTGCTATATCTTGGGCACAAAGATATATTTTTTCACATTCTATTGTCGCGCGAAGAAATGTGTTCAGGTGCTAAATGCCAATTTCGAGGTCTGCTAGTCACGAGAGAGCCTCCAAGAGAGAGTTTGTGTCGTTTTACTATTTCTCATTATTCTGCTACGCGTGCATCATCAAATCACCCCTTCTGTCCATCATCTAATCATTTCACTGAAGGACAGATGGAGCCATCGAACGAACCTTAACCTCAATGAACACATCTGTTACCTTAACACGGCCACCGCGCGTGATTGTCTGGTGTGGTCACGGCTCGCGTGTATGATTGGCTGGCGTTGTCACCGCTCATGCGTGATTGGCTATCGTGATTACTGCTCGCGCGTGATTGGATAGAGTGGTCACGGCTCGCGCGCGATTGGCTGGAGTGGTCACGGCTCACGTGTGATTGGCTGGCGTGGTCACGGCTCGCGTGTGTGAATGGCTGGTGTGGTCACGGCTCGCGTGTATGATTGGCTGGAGTGGTCACGACTCGCGCGTGATTGGCTGGCGTGGTCACGGCTCGCGTGTGATTGGCTGGCGTGTAGCCCCGACATCGCTTCTCACTGCAGCGACTCTCGATTCCGACTTCCCGCTATCCATTTTCATATCGATTTCGATTCCTGATCTCGACTACGATTTCGACTCCACATAAATTTGCGATTCCGAATCAGTGGCGCAACGAGCAGCGGGCAGAGAGAGCGGCGACGGAGGAGTCCCGCCACAACCTCAGCTGGCACAGCCACAACCTCAGCGGGCACAACCACAGCAGGTACAGCCACAGCAGGTACAGCCACAGCGCTCACAGCCACAGCGCTCACAGCCACAACCTCAGCTGGTACAGCCACAACCTCAGCTGGTACAGCCACAACCTCAGCGGGCACAGCCACAACCTCAGCTGGTACAGCCACAGCGCTCACAGCCACAGCCGGTACAGCCACAACGCTCACAGCCACAACCACAGCGGGTACAGCAACAACCACAGCACTCACAGCCACAACCACAGCGGGTACAGCAACAACCACAGCGCTCACAGCCACAACCACAGCGGGTACAGCAACAACCACAGCGCTCACAGTCACAGCGCTCACAGTCACAACCACAGCGCTCACAGCCACAACAGGTAAAAGCTACAACGGGTACAGCCACAACGCTCACAGCATCAACCACAGCCACAACGCTCACAGCAACGGCCACAACCACAACGCTCACAACCACAGCCACAACGCTCACAACAACGGCCACAGCCACAACGCTCACAACAACGGCCACAGCTACAACGCTCACAGCAACGGCCACAACCATAGCCGCAACGGCCACAACCACAGCCACAACGCTCACAGCAACGGCCACAACCACAGCCACAACGCTCACAGCAACGGCCACAACCACAGCCACAACGCTCACAGCAACGGCCACAACCACAGCGGGGGACAGCCACAGCGGCTGTAGCAGTCGCCGTAGTCGCGACTTGCATATCGGTGATACGGCATGTGTTGACGTGGTGTGTGGTGTGTTTGAAGGCCCTGGTGTTTACAGAGGGGAGTCGAGGTGCTTGGGTTGCTCTTTAGCTCTCCAGCGCATATCCAGAGGAGGGTGGTACGAGCAGGGGATGGGAGATGCGGGGTGGAGATTCGTGTTGATGTGGGGTGGAGATTCGTGTTGATGTGGGGAGATGCGTGGAGGGGTGTGCACATGTGTGGGTGGAATGGGGTCGAGATGTGAAGGTGTGCGGTGGGCTTCGGTGATGTGTACAGGGGGGCATGGTGGAGTGTGGTGATGGTGATGGCGTACGGGCGGTTACGTGGTCAAGTGCGGTCCATGTTGGCATGTCGTGAGGGTCGTGGGGCTTAGTTGAGCTGCGGCTCGTGTTTGGTTTCGCTGATGGGTTGAGTCTGTGATTGTGGTGGTGGAGTGGTTGTGGGGCCCGTGTCAATGATGAGGAGCGGTGTGAGTGCGCATCGTGCAGCAGTGCTGGGCGGTGCACCCAGCGGGGTGCCACCATCGTCGCGTGTGAGAGGAACAAAAGAGACGCACGGGCAGATGCCGCGGGAGTGTGTCTCTGTGCGCCTGTGGCGGGGCTCTGGGCACGGGGCCTGTGGCGGGGCTCTCGCCTCGAGAGAAGGGCAGCCTGGTGGTGATGATGGCGATGATATATCCCTCTGTGGACACTGCATGGGGTTGTGTTTATGGAGAGACGACCAACTCGCCACACTGGAGCCCTGTTTTAACTATGGGCGGTTGCCCGGATTCAAACCCAGGCCCTCCGTGGTCATCAGCTCAGTGCTCTGATCTCCGAGCCGCCAACCCATTTTAGTATCTCTAATGAGCCAAAACATATACAGTCATTACTGTGGTTACTCGTTCAAGATAAGTGTCATCAGTATGTTCCAACGTGACCCGTAGTCGATGAGCAGTGACTATATGAGCAGGCATCCAGCAGGCGGCTGTATTGATGGACCCGAGTCGCCAACAGCAGCATCAGCAGCAGGGCACCGGCCTCAATTAAAGCCGCACGCAGCTCGCAACAGCAGCAGCATCAGCAGCATAGCGGCCCACAACAGCGTGGTGAGCGGCTCGCAACAGCGTGGTGAGCGGCTCGCAACAGCGTGGTGAGCGGCTCGCAACAGCGTGGTGAGCGGCTCATTTCGTACACGGCGACCATCTCCCGTGTGTGGCATTGCTTTGACATATGGACACGGTGTGTGCACTGTATGGGGTGGAGCGGTGGGGTGACATTTAATTGTCATCAACTCAAAAGCCCCGAGTTCGATTCACAGCCGCGGCTGACAACAGCGGCGAGTGATGTCTGAACCGGTTCCAGGCCTCCTTTTATCCATCAGTTGATTGACAAAGGGCTGTAAACAAAGATATACCTGTAAGCTGTTCATTGCCATTCACAATGAATATCTGCTAGACTTGATTAGGAATCTGTATCAACCTGGCATGAATCCTGTGAACCATGATGTGTTTCGAACTGGTGCTACAATACGCGCTCCCTGGAGAGTCGATTGATTTTCACGCTTTTCTTAATGAATCTATTCATTTGTAACATTGCGGTGGATGGGAGCACTTCAAGTGTACTGCAGGGGTGTGCTAAACTCAGTGAATAGAACATACGAATCGAAAGAGATACACATGCGATTCTATATCTGTGGTGCGAGCTGGTAAATCGATGTTTACGAACCAATGCATTTTAGGTGGTGTCTGCTCTAGCGTCCTTACGTCTGTTCTAGGGTGAACATCTTTGTCTTGACATCGGACACCTGACTATTTGATCAATAATGTTTGGATTTACCTTTCCTGTAGTCACAGCTGTACATCACATACAGGACGTGCACGCACATATATCCCACTCACACGGACAACGTGGTTTTATTCGTGCATCACTGTGGATGACATTGGTGGAACTGATAGTAAGTAAATCAGTCATTTGCAGTGACGAAGCGCATGTATGCACGGTTTCATTTCTACATTCCTGTATGTCTTCCGTATAACGGCATATGCAAGCCCCTGCTGTTCTTCGGAGAACAAAGAAATGCAATTTGAGTAAACTACAGATTTAATGAAAGCATGTCCTTTGACACCTTGTCGCAATAGTTATTCGCATTGCCAATTCTCTTCTGGTTGTGAATACAGAGCGGTGCAATTAAAGAGCAGAGGTTTAATTGAATAATGTGGAGTTTATGAACGGGGTATTATCATTCACATGTTGTGTGAACCTGCCAGAACGTAGCCTTAGAGCGGCTGTGGTGGCCTTAAAAACAATCCCCGTAACATTTTATCATTGCTTTTCTTCCTCTTCCTGCCGTGATGTGATGGTTAGCACACAAAATTAGCAATTCAGAGGTTCCTAGTTCTAAAAGCCTCCTGCCTTTCTCCACCCAGCAGTGTTTGTGGTTTTGAAAATTGGAGTGTTGCTCAAATCTGTAGGAATTAAGACAAAAATATCTTAAGTTTTAAAGGGTTTTATTTTTCTGGATAGAGCTGCCTGAAATAAAGCTCTCTCCAGACTACAAAAGAAAACTGAAGATAATCCGCAGCAAGTCACAAAAGTTATGCATAATTGAAGAGTATTCATTAATAAATCAAACGGTTGACTAACAAGGGCAAAACATGACTAAGGCTTTCGTGACTGGAGGAATTCATATTCTTTGGGTCAGGATGACGACCGCTTGTGTTGCGATTGAAACGTCGTAGTTTTTTGTTATGTTCTTTGAACCTATCTACGTGACTTTACTGAAAGACCCAAAGAATAAGGGCAAAACACTTCACGCAATCATCATGGGGGGCAAAAGTGGGATCCAGGAACCAGGACTGTCAGTGAGTAGGCGTTGGGTGCATTCTGTGCAGCTAGCAAAGACAAGAAGGTCATGGCTGTTTCCCCTGAGACAACATGGCCTGGAAGTGAACAATACAGAGCTGGAACATTGAGAATGCAGGTGACTTCACGTCGTGCTTACAGATTAGCTGAAGAACTGCAAGAATTTCACTTCCCATAAGACGTTTAACCTAAGAAGGGACCATAAGCTGAGGCTGAAACATCAGGTGCTTCAGTTTAAGACTACTTATTAGAACGTGTTTACAGAGCATGGCATTCATACCGGTAGAAATTAACAGGTTTGTTCCCTCCATTAAACTGTCAAGAGTCGATCACATGGTGAGCGAGAGTCAGGATAAACCCAAAACGCAAATTGACAATCGTATATTTAAGCGTTGAACGTGACTCAAGGGAGTGATTAGCAGAAGACCAAATGCACGCAAAGCTAGGAAACATTAAAAAGGAATCAAACTAAACATTCACAACTACAATTGTAGGTGTTCTAAGAAATGGTGTATGTTGGTCAACTATACTTTCATTAGATATTACGGTTGTCTTGTATGCACAGCCAAATGGTTTGCTTAAAATAAGCAAACCAGAGATCCATGGACCTTGTGGGTGTTAGTAAAATGGAAAAATAAATATTGTGACTGGACTTGAGAATTTGTTCTGTCCAAATGAAGTAATTGCAGCTCAAATTCTTAATTTAATTAAAGTTAAATTGTGCCATGGTTTAGTCCTTGTCTGAATCATTATTTATATTTTAAAACCGTTAAATTATCGTCATTTTCACGACTTTCCCACCCTTCCCCTGTCCCATCACCAGTGATCCTTTAAAGTGTTACAATTCTGGGTCACGCTTCGAATCGAACTTTTTTATATCCCATTTGTCCTGTGTTATTTATACCATCTCTCGTGCACTGTCTTATTCATTATGTTAGCTTAAAGGTAACATATATAAATTGCATGAGTAAATCTTGATTCCTTGTTGCAAGTTTCAAGTTTGCTGTTTAGCCATGAGGTGGAAACTCAAGAGACCAGGAAGTGGCCAGAGTCACCGCCAACATTGCAGAAGCAATCAGAAAAAGCAAAGCACAAGTGACTCTCTGTGTTGTGGTCGTTGCAATCAATATGAATCCTTACGTGCGTAGTAATTAGAGATACACCGACAGTATTGGATGACTGTAAGAGTACCACTTTTAATGCTCATAATCAAATACATGTCAGTCCTTCGAATAAATCAGTATAGCACTTCATGTACACCAACAATTTCAGTTTATATTGCATCTCATTCCAGTGGCATTCCCAGCCACTTTACAGAAAAGTGAAAAAAGAGCCACATGAATATGGGTGAGGGGTTTAACTCTTAAATACTTCTTACGGTGGGACCCAATTAAATGAACCTCTAATGAGCCAAAACATATACAGTCATTACTGTGGTTACTCGTTCAAGATAAGTGTCATCAGTATGTTCCAACGTGACCCGTAGTCGATGAGCAGTGACTATATGAGCAGGTACCCAGCAGGCGGCTGTATTGATGGACCCGAGTCGCCAACAGCAGCATCAGCAGCAGGGCACCGGCCTCAATTAAAGCCGCACGCAGCTCGCAACAGCAGCAGCAGCATAGCGGCCCACAATAGCGTGGTGAGCGGCTCACAACAGCGTGGTGAGCGGCTCATGAAAGGTAATGAAAGGTAATGAAGTGGGTTTTTGAGGACTGACATCGCAGCGCTCTCTCAGTCACCAGGTTGGAGCATCTGATTTAAACGGCCCTGCCATCGGACAAACAAGCTGGGTAGGAACTTGGGCGCTTACGGTAATTGACTGTTGCAGATCGCGCGAATGCCGGACTTGATGTCGTCTCTGATTCGATCGGCGGTGTTATTATAAACAGACGGGAGTTATCAGCCTTGTGGTGGGTGACCACCTCCTATCCGTCGTGTGGACGAGGCCACATTATTGCCTTTGAAGTTATCTGAGCCACGCATTAATTTGATGATGGCCTCTTCTCTGCGATGCCACTGATGATCTCCTTTTAATCTGTGGTATATCACAGACCGGAGCAGTAGCGTGTACACGCGCGAACCACGCACTGCCGCCCATCGGCTCCCATGTGGATAACAAGGTTCTCAAATTGTGCGAGGAGCCCTATTGCAGAGTGCCCAGCATATGCCCACACGCTCGCTGATAAACATTCGCACATACAATGAACACGTATAAATACAAATAACAGTTATTTACAACGCTTTGTCATTCATCTGTTGAATGAAGGCGTCCCCACTGCTGTGCTGGTCACGAGAGTGTTTTTTACCATTTGACCATACTTCACCGTGCTGATCAGTACCTCCACGGTAATCCGTGGATAAGAGGTATACGAGGAAGTGGTCTCCCAGGGGTGCTGAGTTCATCCGATTCTTATTTCTTGGTGGCAAATTCATCCGATTATCTGTGTTCATCCACGGGTAACCCGGTGGATAAAGATAAGTTATGTATGCAGATACCTGTGGATGATAGCATTCACCTGTAGTGTCCCCCACATCAACTGGCATACAAACAGTTCCACTCTTTCTATTTTTGGCTTGAAACTACATCTGGGTACAAGCTGTCTAATATGTGCCATGTTTATACACACATCTATATTTGAAGCATTCTGTATCCGTATCTAAACTGTAATGATTTCCAGACTAATTTTGTTCTTGCAGTCACCCATATTAATAGCACAGTGTGTGCATCCTCTTGGCGTGTTCTCCTCTTGCCACTGCAAATGGTAAACAGTTGTAAACGTGACACCATTACAACACGTCCTCATTATTTTCTAGTTTTGGTTTAAATTCCCAGTTGAGCTTCGTGCTCGACGCCACGCGCTGTAAACATCGCTTCCACCAGCAGCCTGTTGTTATCTCTGGCAGCGTGGGCCCTGGTGGCTAAATGCGATGAGAAGGGGTGGCTCTCATATGCCAGGCTGCTGTGACAGTGCTTTTGCCTTGTAGGGGAGTGTTGGACAGTCGCAGGTCACCCCCGGTTCCACTCAAGTCTGTATATATTCACGAGTACAAGAATATTGACACGGTTGCACTTGAGCACCACCCGTGTTGAGTCAAATAACCTGTTATCCAGGTCTTTATCCTTGTTAATTGGGCACGGGCATGCCCGCGGTGGTGGTTGTTGTGTTCGGGTGGTGTCTGGTGTACAGTATTGACAGCCGTCGAGCTCCACAATGAACCCACTTTCGCACTAGACACAGCCACAGATCATCACCAGCCATGAACGATCCACTGCTTGATGAAGGCTGCTCCAAGCCGCCACCACCTCATGATTCCGCGATGTAATAATCCGTGTAGTGCTCGCAAATTAACTAATTTCATGGCTCCCATCTCCTCGGTGGACATCCACTCGGACGCGTTCCACTCCTTGGCTGCCACTCCCTTATTACTCTTGACCATCCTTCCATCGTCCCTTTTATATCGACGCATCCTCCCCAAGTCCACTTATTTTACTTAACATGTTTTGCATGTCATTAACCTTTGTATGTTCTCGAAGCCAAGTCTTCCACATCCTGTCTCTTTGTAATTTCACAGACACCAGAGTTATTTGATATATGTCATTATATTAACATGATTTTTAATGAGGTGTTTCTTATGATTTTTTTTAAATAGATCAAACATTTTAGGTTTACTGTAGTTTCTTTCACGTTTTGTAGAGCTATAATTTTTTTTCTCTCTACAGCGCCTCGTGACCTCCAGGTGAAAGGAGCTTTAGAAGTGTAAATTATGGTTATAATTAGCACGTACAATCCGTGACAATGCGATTTGTATTTATAGAGTAGCTAGATTCAACCGTGTCTCAAGATGCTGTACGTATTCACGATGCGAAACACAAAACATCTTAGAGCTGTTTTTGCCACTTCTAAGGACTTCAATTTGTACTTTCTTTTTTGTGCTTGAAAGTTTTTTTTTCTGAAAATGTAAATAAGGGAGGAATTATAATGTGTTGTATACTGACATTGCCATAGAGTTAAACATATTTTGTCCAAGGGAGCTTTAACCCCACCAGTTGCATCAAGCTGCTCGCTGTAACTCATGCCAGGCGCTGGTGGCTCCGCACGCAGTCTGTAATCCAGCGCTGTGGAGGCAGTGACAGTTGGTGGATCACACAATTCCGTGAAACTCCCAGCCTACCCATGGGTGTTGAGATCGCCAACTCCTGAATTGTCAGGGCATGATGGCAGTACAGCAAGTGGATTCATTGCCATGTTTATACTGGTAGGAAACGTAGTGGACTGGAAGCCCAACCGGGATTAATTCCATCTGTTGACCCCACCCTCAAGCGTGGGTTTTCAGTGTGCTCTGGGATTCTCCCACATAAACAAGTCATTCCCGAGATACGGATGTCCGACTTGCGAACATCCGTACTTACGAATTAGCTGCCATAAGATGTTATTGTTTTTAACGATCCGACTTACGAATGATCAGTCGTGCTTACGAACCGACCCGCGGAACTATTTTGTTTAGCGGAGTGATCCTCCGTGAGATGTGATGAGTCCCAGTATCCCGCGGTGATACACAACGCCCCTTCCAACAAGCAAGCCAGCATCAGGACTCAAGGTAAGTGAAAGTAAAACTGATTTTTTTATTTTCATGTGACTTTATTTTATGTTTTATTTACTATACAGTATTTATTACAGTATAACATACAAAAGTACAATATTTATGCTTATGAGTTTAACAGTGCTTCCCTTTGATCCATAACACATTTTATGGACAGTGTACAGTACGAGCAATTAAATATTGAGTTCCGATATGCGAACAAATCGACTTACGAATGGGTGTCAGGAGCGTAACGCATTCGTAAGTCGGGCACTGTCCTACAAATACTCAATGATGGCGTTTGCAAAACATCCTCACATAGGACCGCAGAGTATGGGCAATTGTTGGCACTGGCTCTGGCTGCCTCTCCTGCCTCAGGCCTCCATGCGATATCCCCGCGCGCGTTCTAAATCTTACACCGTTTCGCGATGCAATTTGCACGGAAGACGCTGTATAAAAATAAAACGTGATTATCACCGTGGAACTTGGTCCCGCGACGTTCATCTTGGGGCAGCAGCGCAGAGGAGCAGGTGCTCCATGACTGAGGATTCATCTTAACACCGTGGCCCAGGGCGCGGCGACCGTACTGGTGGCAGTCGGTGCGGAGCGGCCAGAGGAGTGACCGCTTCCCGGGACCATCCGTCAACCGCGATGGCTGGGCAGCCTGGGCGCCGGAGCGTGCCCGCCCAGCGAACTGCTGAGCGCTATTCCTGAACCGTGGTTTACGATGTTAAGTTATTGCTGCCGCATGTGTTAGTGAGCACGGTTCTGAGGCGCGGGTACCATGTCCGTGCTATTCCCGCACAGCTCGTCCAGGAGGCGGTGACCCGGGCTGCTTTTGGCTGTGATCGCTCTGTTTACGCCACAGTCGCTCCAGCGTGCTCATGGACTCGGAGCCGCGAGGTCGCCGGTTGAATTTGATGGCCTGGCGTGCCAGTTTAAACGAGCGTGCGAGTTTCTTAAGTTGCCCCCCTGCCCCTGTCCACCCAGCAGCGTGTGTTGGGGTTATTCTGTATCGGTTATTCCCACCTCTTCCAAGACTACACGGCCAGTGCGGAAGAGTAGGCCAAATACCCTTTAGAACAGCGACTGTCAACCTTTATTGACCCACGGACGGCTGTCACCATTCAGTAAAATATCTGGTGTTGTGTAAATAAACTCTTATCAGCAAGAGTTCCGCGGATCACTTCCCATGGCCGTGTGGCCGCTGACCACCCGTTGGGAACTGCTGCTCTCGAGGGGCTCTGTTGGGCGCGCTTCCTCTTCGCGGAGGCCCTTCCGCCAGCAATGGCTCGATCAAGCGATTACAGGGCTGCACCTTTACCATTACCTGTTTCCTCCAGGGTTGGTCGGGTGTTTGTATTTAATGTCGTTGACATGTTAATACTTGCACGCTCGGCGGGTTTTTTTCTATTTCTGTTAAAGAGCAGTGCTAAATCAGTCTTGCGGAAGCAAATTAAAATAGAGTGCACCTCTTCTCACAAGTGTGCGGCCGCCGCCCTCTCCGATGAACACAAGATGAATAAAGCGGCTTCTCCCCTGGGCCGACGAGTCTCCTCTCTGCCGGCCTTAGTCACATTTTACTGGCAAGTAGTGCCGCCACCCTCCCTGGGTCAAACGCTGCGGTCACGTGGGAAACGAAACGATGCGATCAAGGGCGTACCCATCGTAATCAGGCCAGACACTCGGGTAATGGCTTATGCTGAATTTTCCCAGACAATGCAGTTCATTATCATCGGCCATAATCACTGCCGGATGAAGGCTTTCCCAAATTGCTACTACCCCCTCTAATCCAACCAGTGCCTGCCCACTACTCGGTTTTCTGGGATTGATTTTGTTTTATATTATTAATGACGATACCACCACTTGTTTAGCCAGAAAAGCCTCGTCGAGTACCAAGACAATGGATCAGGAGACTCCTTCAGTTCCATGACTATGAGGGGATAGCACAACTCCACACAGATGGACTAATTTAACTTGCTCTGTCATCTACTTGCTACATAAACAAATAATAAATAGAATTAATATTCTGGAGCGAAAGTTGGTTTGGACAAATTACTTTAAAAAACATTTACAGTAAAATTAAGTCGCAGAAACAAACAATAATTTAGGGTGATCATTCCATTGTAATGTAAACAGAAGGATACATGCCACACTTTAGCAAGTGAAGTTATTCGGAAATGTCGCGGTGTGATCCGTGAGCCCAGTTGTAATGAGCGGCTAGAACGAGGGAAAGCGCTCAACGCTTGCTGTTGTCTGTGATCTGGCCCAGAGAAAAAAAACCCCAGGTCTTTCGTATACCCCAGTACATTTCTCATCGACCTAATTGCAATAATTACATTGTTAATGGATTAATTCTATGTAAGTGGATTTCTGTAATAGGATTGGTGGTTTGTGTTATCATGACTGGCCTTGGTTCCCCCAGGAGAGCCTCACTGTCTGACTCTCAGGTGGGCCTGCTTCGAGCGTTTGTAGACTTCTTTGTCGAGTTTTTATTTGTTTTGCTTTTGTTGTTTTGGTGACCCAGGTCACACCTGCATATGAGACTTAACGTGGTCTCACGACTTCTCACCTGGTTCAACAAAATAAAACTTTCGTTTTCTTAGTCATCTATTGTTTACTGTTGCACAATACTAGTCGGTTACCAAGTTTATTTGACTTGATGAGTTAATAGTTCCTGATGTACTTACCACGTTTTATTTCTAATTGTGCTTCCAGTACAGTAGGCAATTTGACATCACAATATCTGTATCCTAATTCCATTACAAACGAATTCAGCACTCCTTTGATGACAAAGGGTGCTTTCAGTGGATTATTCAGTCCAAGCATTGGCCACGAAGGACTCGAAGCAAGGTGCTGTAGGAGCAGCCTTGCTTACCAAGGTGGTGGGTTCCCTGGTCCGGGCTGACGGCACGACTCGGTGTGCCCAATACTAACGCGTTGTGTTGGCGAGTGAGAGCGTGCGGAGACATTGGCCACTACCAAGGGACACCCAGTGAGCCGTGATTGTGAAATAATACATGTTGCACGTTTATAGTTTCCAACTGACATTGGGATCAATAAATTACAGGCCATGCTTCATTTCTCAATTTGTGTCAAAGTTATAAATTGCACGGTGCAGCATGGATAATGGATATCATTAAAGCCAATTAAAAAACCACGCTTAATTTGCCAAAATAATAAGGTCGTTAAGGCACTTACAAGATCGTCACTGCAACAACAAGTAACAATTCAGACTGCATGTATTTATAGTTAACACTACACGTATTCGTGCTGTAAAGATGATCCCAATAACTACCGACCTATCTCAATTTTGTCCCCATTGATGAAATTTTTTGAACTACTAAATTAGCAATTTGCTGTCCACCAACAATCTACTACATCTAAAACAATCTGGGTTCCGAAAAAAATACAACACCACATCTGCTGCATTAGACTCTCTGAATCAAATTTACAGTAGCCTTGATAATAAGCAGTACTGTGCCTGTCTTTTTCTTGACCTGTCCAAAGCTTTTGATACAGTAGACCACAACACCCTGCTTAGTAAACTAAGTTGCCTCAGTTTTTCCGAAAACACAGTACAATGGTTAAAAAATGACCTCTTTTCTCGCACCCAAACTCTATTCACAGATGGTTGGAGGTCAAACAGTGTTAAGATAACAAAAGGGGTTCCACAGGGTTCCATCCTCGGCCCCATCTTGTTCTCTCTTTATGTCAATGACTTGGGCACTGACCTGGATCATTCCAGGGTAAATCTTTTTGCAGATGACACGATACTGATTACTGCTGGCCGCTCTCCGGATGACGTGATTGCTAAGCTCCAGGGTGATTTCAACAAACTACAACATCAGCTAGTTGCTCTTAAACTAGTCCTGAATACCTCCAAAACCATGGTGCTATGCTTCTCACCGGGACTAAAGCGGGAAGTTATTTTTCCCAAATTACATTCCTTAAATAAATATCAAATAGAGCAAGTCAAGATCTATAAGTATCTTGGGGTCATCCTGGATTAAAAACTGAATTTTGAAGATCACATTGATTATATTGGTAAAAAGACAAAAATAAAAATTGGTATTCTGTATCGACACAAGCACTGCTTCCCCCCAATGTTCTGTTTGGAATTGATCAAAGCTACCATACTGCCTCTACTTGACTACTGTAACATCGTGTATAAATCAGCCCCAAGTACTGTACTGAAGAAGCTTGATTCCATCTATCACTCGGCCTTAAGATTTGCATTGAACTGCCCATATAGGACTCACCACTGTGATATCTACATTGGGTCAAACTTAACATCTCTTAATGTTCGATGGCTTGTGCACCAGATCTTATTTATTCACGATGTACTTACAAAAAAATCCGCTGACTACCTACTGGATCTCCTCTCTGTTTCAAAGAACAAATTTGACCTCGGGTCTTCGCTCATTTACCAACTTCACATTCCCTATTGCCGTACAAAAAACGGAGGAAGGGCCTTTGCTATTGATGCCCCCAGGGTCTGGAATGCTATTGCCAATAAACTGCAACTTGAATCACTACCTATGAGATCTTCACTCAGAACTGCTCTAGAGGAGTTGTACACCCCTAGCTGCCACTGCTATTCAGTGGCCTAAAATATGGCTCTAGAGTTTGGTGTTACATGTTATTTATGTAGTTTATTGTAAAAAAATCGGTCACAGTCCCTATGATCACTGTTACATTGCATTTATGGCTTTTACTTTGGTGATTTTGAAAAGTTTTTTTGGTTTTGGCCATGTTTTTGTTTATTGTAGTACGGAGTTGGACTGATGACCTTAATCTTAGTTGTCTTGTGGTTGTTGTTGTTGTTTGACTTGCATTCCACTGGGATTTTTGCACACAGCGTTGGTGTACGGTGCTATTTCAGGAATATTTTGATGTTTTTTTCCTGGATTTTCTGTTTGCATAGTCACTTTAAGATGTTTTCTTGTTCATGTTTTTGTTTTTTGTTTGTTGCGGTTGCACCCGATTCAAGAGCCGAATGGCTCACAGGGCTATAC